CATTTGCCCCAAATTCTCCTCCTGAGTCTCCCAGTTACATGCCCAGGAAAATACCCTCAAACAGCACAGACGCTTCTGCAAACCAGAGCAGGCTCTCTGTCCTTCTTGGCAATGCTCTAAGTGAGATGCTTCGATGAACTCCTAGAGCATTAAGACTTCGTTATTGGCACAAAACACACACTATATTATTTCCTAATACGCTATAAAGTAATAGCTGTCAATTAAACAAATATTCTGATGTCTTCCTTTTAAACTATTATTTTGCTTTGTCACTAATTTGCACAATGCAATAATTTCAAATTACTTTCCCAGCTCTGAGCATGAATTAGCTCTGTGCTACTATCACTGGCTCTGACCGGCCATTTTTTCTTTTTCCAGCTCATAACCCAGGCCTATAGAATGGGTGGCAAGTAAATTCATGCTGATGAATATAATTTCAAACAAATTGCTCAAATAAATTGTGCAGCATCTTTTTAAGATAGCCATTTCCCCAAATGTTCTCTTTAAAGCACAACACATTTGGCAATGGTGCTCTTTAGATGTCAGGTATCATCTAAAATAATGCATAACAGATTTCTTCTAAAAATATGCCACTTAAAAAAAATTACGCCGCAAATGCTAACGGCTGTGCTGAATATGTATCAAGGCAAAATAGCACAGAGAAACGGGGAACAAATCCCATCTGCTAATGGCCACACTCACAGCTCGGAAGGGCTTGAGAATGTGATGCTCTGCAGAGCGTGGCTCTGAGAGCAGAGCTCAACTGGCATGCTGGAAAAGCAATCCCACAATTAAAAAGAAACAACTGAAAAATGAGGTAGTATTACATCACATGTCATTTCACAGACGTACTCCAAAAGAGATATCAGCCTAAAAAAAAGAATATATTAAAGAAATTAAGTCAAATAATTAGCAAGGAATCTTGGCATGTGAAGTTGGTGAGATGCTGTGTTCAGAGAATCTCCTTCTGTGCTGGTTGTCATTAAATGTTACCGTGAAGGTATAAGAATACAAGAAATGTATCAACAGCAGAACTATAGAAATTTATCTTAGCAGAAAATTGTTCCTATGCAACTGAATAATTAGTTTCACTTAAGTCACTCAGCCTGCTACCGCCGTCTGTATCCCCTTTTGTCTATTTCTTGTTAAATTCCTATTCAGCCATCACTCAGCTCTGAGATGATAGGATTGTATAATAAACAAAATAATTAGTTTCCAAACTCATAATACACTGTAACACATTTCCTGGAATATGTTTTTTTTATAACTGCTATTTTGCATTCTCTCACGATTGAGAACTCAGCTCACATGTATAAGAGAATTTGAAGATGGTATAATTTTGCCATGAATCCAACGGATAGAACTAAATTCACGCTCATTTAGGAGAGCTAAGTGAACACATTTTGATGCACGTACCAGAATGTCTGCACCAGCCAAGTCAGCCCACACGTATTGACATGCATCACAGACAAATTATGTACGGCTGCAGCACGTTCCCCTCTGGACTTCTTAAGTAAGGATCGCCACCAAAATGGGGTAACCCCCTTTGCCAGGGCAGTACCGACAGCCAAGAGAGTGCAGGGCAGACTGGCACCCGCTGCTCCACACCAGCACTGGCACGTACTGGTAGCACTGGAAATGAGACATATGTCAGCTGAGGCCTCATTAAAAGAGCACAATCTCTTTAGTCCTAAATTACAGGGGGACCCCAGCAGCGTGGGATGCTGACAGGACTACAGACTGCGTAACGGAATAGATTAAAGAACTTGCAGGAAGTCAATTGACTATCTTTTCTTTTTCCCGCTGTACGACTCAAAATCCTTGTGAAACTTGAAGTCATTGTTTAATTTTCCAATGGCGATGAAGATCGGATAACAAGAGGTGAACTCACAACTCAGAATCATTCATCTCCAAGCACAGGTGAACCGCATGCGAAACCGCAGGGGGATGACCACGGGAGGGCATTTTCTGGGTGACCGGGTCGTCTGCGGTACAACGATGGGCACTGGCACAAGCAAACAGGCTGCATACTTACCTCTGGCTTTCAGTGCAAGCTAGAATATCAGATTGCAGAGAAGAATTCAGCTTAAGAAACTGGCACCATCAGGTCTGCAACGACTCACAGCTACACACAACTCCTTGGCAGTAGGTAGGAAGCAGCTGATTACCAACTCGGGGCTGCGATTTCCCAAGCCTGGGTCTCTACTGGCAAAGCTAAGAGAGGTGGTCTGTCAGCTTAGCCGGTAGAGAGAGCTGCCCCGAGTGAGTAATGGTCCCTGCACCGCCCTGTGTGACAGGGTGCAAGGTCTGCATCTCCACCTGAGGCACCTTCACCACCCCATCCTCTCTGATTCTCCCCAGCTACCCACCTCCTTTAAGGGAAAAAAAGAATAATTTTGAAGTGAATCCTCTGAAATGCTCTATAAATGAAGTTGTGTTCACATAAACAATTAGCTGGAGAGATGGGATGAGATGACGAGGGCACCTCAGAGTTCTGGTGGGAGGACGGAGAAGAGGAGAGGTTGGCTAGCGAGACTGTCAGCGCCGTAGTGCCCGGCGGGCAGTACCGGTGCTCTCCTTCCCTGAGAGGGCAGTGGGGCTCCCGTGGGGCCGGCGCACAGCCTGAACTTGGCGTTAGTGGCCGCCCATGGGGGTGTGCGCTGCCGGGAAGGCACCTGCCCGTCTGCCGCAACGTCACGGCACTGCAGCGTTCAGTGCCTGCAGAACCCTACCTCAAAAGAAAAGCCACCTCGTAACAAAAAAGCCCTTTGATTTACAACATCTCTAGAAACAACAACTAACCCCTTCCCTGCCTCCCCTAGCTTAGTCCTCTGCAGGAGGTCTTCTCTGACCCACATTCTCCTCCCTGGGGACTTCTGCCATCTGAGCCGTGCCCTTGAGAGCCGACGTCCGTAGCTCAAACAAGCAGTCCTTCATCACAGCATTTTATGACAAACTGCGGAAAGACAGTGCTTTGTGATTTACAGACTAGAACAGCAAAACATGCGTCCTCTTCACCGGACACCGATCCGCGGTATCACAGCAGACCGGACTCCGCTCCCTTAACAGCCACTGACCAGGGCCGAGGGCTCGCTAACGGATGGCATCGCTCTTTGTGAAAGGTCTTTCAGCACGAGCGAAAACAGAAGGATGGCCCTGCCCTAATTATGACCATTTTAGAAATCCTTTTTAGTTTCCTTAGGGCTGTCAGCGTTAGTTGGCTGGGTTTAATTCAATGAACTCAAAGCAGTGAAGTTCATTGAAGCTGGTCTGTACAAAGAGTTTTCTTTCATGGAGGCAGCATTAAACAACGCGGTGCTGCATCCCAGGAGAATATTAAACATTTAATATACTGGCAAGTATAACATTATATAAAAATGTTGCATGAAGGATGAGCAGCAGAGCTAAAAAGCATAAAAAAAGCTCGTGCTCATCTCCAGGCTGCTGCTGAGCACTGTGGACCTCCAGTTACTGAACAAACCTGAATTCGAGAGCCTTTCCTTCCTTTATTATTACACAGTGGCTTTTGCTAACATCAGAGATGAGCAGCTGAGCAATTTCCTACATAGCCAACTGTAAGCAACTTTTATTAATAGGATGCAGCAATAATTTGCAGTAATTGTCCAAAACTGTGGTTTACTGAAAATACTGTTGTTATTGATTTTGGACCAAAGCTGAAGCATTTTTATAAGAGAGATTAGGAGTTACTGTTCCCTAAGGAACTGGTTTTCCTAGCTGTAGGAGAGTGTCACTATGAAAATTAATCTCAGTACTTTTCAGTATAACAATGTGTTTTAAATTAATTTTCTTGGTAATTCCTGTACCCAAGGTGACCAACAGTACCCAGCCGACTCTAGCTACAGCTTCTTCTCACCAGGTTAAAGACTGCAGAAATCGCCAGGATAAGGCTGGCAATAGGAAAGCACACTAGTTAATTTTGCAATACACGGGCTCATTAAAGCAACTTTGGAGGGTCTTGTTACTGTATGGGCTGCCTGAAAGACTGGGGGGAAGCCTCAGCTCAGCAGAAGGCGGCGACAGCTTTGCCACTGCTGTCACTGGAGCCACAATTTTAATCCACATCTGCTTCAAAAGCACGGCAAACACAGACGCAGGGCTCCTGCACAGGTGTGCGCAGACGACTGGCCAGTGGCGTACAAAAGGTGACAACTGAATATTCTAGGCAAAACTACCAAACCCTCTATCCTTAAGACTAATTTCTAGTTTAGTGCACCAATACACTTCCCTGTTGCAAGCAATATCTCTTTCATTTCAGCTTCACCTGCTGCAAGCTCTAGCTCCTTACATGTTACCGTTATTGCTATTATCTTACTATTAGCGGGTGATGACCATCTCGGCGTAACATTATGTCTTTGCTATGACGGTCGCTTAACTCTCATCTCATGATCCCAGGCTGCGATTAGATGAGCAGCCACCTTGTCCTTCCCTGAGCTACACACCTGCCCAAGCGGGTCTTCTCTGGAGACCAGGCTTCCTCCCAGCGGCTCTGGTTGCACCAGTTCAGGCCAGCAAAACAATGTGTGCTGGTACTGGTTTGCTTGACCCCTCCCCGCAAGAGCAAAGGAGAAGGGAGCCCTCTCTCTCGCCGTCAGGTCTGTTGTGGTACCGCTGATCCTGGCGAAAAAAGCTTCTCCAACCCCACTCTGCATCACAGCTAAACCATGAAGGACTGAAGCCTTGTCCTCAGGGGTTAGTACGGCGGCCAGATGTGATCACTGGTTTCTCGTACAGTTACAAGTACTGATTTGCTCTGCACAGGTCCCACCAATACTGGGCTTTCTATCTGTTAGTTAAATAAGGTTTCCAAGCTTGACCAAGCCCGCTGAAGACATCAAATAAGACCATTTCTTTGAGAGAGCTACTGGACAAGCAAATGGCTTTTTTCCCCCACCAAAATTATTCCAATTGTTTTAATCCGAGTTCTTTTTTTTTTTGTTTTGTTTTGTTTATTTTTCCCTTAAGAAGTAAAATAACAGCCTTGCCGATTACTCTTTGCTAAGGTACCCGATTGTGGTGACATTGAGGCTGACCTTGGAGTCACCTCCCCCGCTGCCGCACTCTCCTTTGTCGTACCACCATTTGTTTTTCAATTTGTCCAAGAGGCCTTGCTCATTCAGTTTTAATACTGCCAGGTTAACAGCATTTCTTGAAACGATAAAACATAACTTGTAAGAAAAAATGCACAAATGCTTAGGAAATCGTAACGTATAAAAAAAGGAGCACAAGAGGACAAATTGGCTAAAATTTCACAGAACGTGGAGCTATCAAAATGTCTGTACAGCAAATACAGGGTTAAATATTGGAAGGTGGCATGGAGGATAACATTTGCTCAAAACTGAAGTGTGCGGGATGGGGAAATCGTCTTTGAGAAAAAAAGTAACAAGAACACCACATCATGCAGTTAACATTCGTCACATATGGCAGGTTAACTCGGCTTTTACCATTTAAATTGAAAAAGCCATTGAACTGTAAAATTAAAACAGCAACAAACAATCAGAAAGGACAACACGAAGAGAACACTAAAAAAATGGATGCATTAAATAAACGAAACCATAATTTACCGTCTTATTTAACTCCATGGAATATTGAAGATTTTAAACTTTAAAGTTACCTCAAAATCCACAAGAAAGAAAATGACAACACAATACATCAGGGTAGGTGGAATACTATAACAACATGGATATTGTTATATTATTCCACCCACCTTAATGCTGAGCCTTTGGGGGTTGCTACACCATAGCCCTTGGAATCCAGGTTGCCGCCGACTTTCATGGTGTCGCAGGGTTTGCGCTGCTCGATGTACTCGTTCATCGTCGACTCCAGCAGGAAGGCAAACTTCCCCTTCGACTTCCGCACCCTCGCCACCCCGTCCGCCGTCGTTTTGGTGAACACCGAGGGCTCGGCCGACTTCATGTACGACCACATTTTCTCGTAGACGGCTATTTTTGACCTCTGGGAGAGATGAAAGGAGGGAAATAAAGAGCCACATTGGCAAGGGCATGAGACTGAGCTCCTTGGGCTTATAATTAACACCCTATACCTGATTAAGGCTAACAAATAAAAAAGTCAAGGTAGCTCGGAGAGAGACACATTGCCCCCTGAACAATGACCAAACCATAAAACAGCTGGGGAGGGGGAAGCATATCTCCTGCTCTGCAGTGGGTGCATCCGCCTGCCCCTGCTGCTGATCCGGAGGGAGCGGCTTAAATCCCCGCTCATCCATCATAGCCAACAGACGCAACAGAAGCCTCTCCTCTTTGCACAAACCCTCAGCATTATTTTTTGTGCTAACTCGCAGCTAGGAAACACCAACGTTTGCTTATTACAAGTTCCCAGCAAAGCAGGAGCCCGCTTTTCATGGTGGCGATGGCAGATCTGTGATACAGGAGACCAGGACAGCTCTAGTGGCTTCTAATAGTGACGCTCATGCGAGGGATATAAATAGTAATCACAGGATCACAGAATGGTAGGGGTTGGAAGGAAACTTCGGAGATCATCTAGTCAGATGTAATGACAGAATTCTTTATGAATCAACAGTCAAACTTTCAAAAATTAAGTTTCACATTGTCCTAAAAGACAGCAAACACAAGTATTAGGAATAAGCTTAAAAAATTGCTGGTTAACTGCCTGCGTGTCACGTATACAAGTTTTTTCCTGTTTTGAGACCGAGCCCATCCTAACAGCCTCTAGCTCAGCAGCCAGGTTTTGTAAACCTGGAAATGGTGAGAAATGTGTTACTTCCCCTTCTCCCTCTTCCCCACCAGTAACATTTAAACCACCCTCAGAACTTATACCCACCTCCAGACTCTTCAGCATTCGTATCCTGGACTACCGGTTAAACTTTCCTGCTTGGTCAACAGAAGGCAGTAATGCCAACTGTATTTCTCTAAAGTCTGGAAATCCAAAGGATTTATATAAGGCTTTCGGCCCAAGCTGTGGGTATCTCGAATTTATGCCTCCTACTCCTAGCCAGTTTCCTGTCCACAGCTCTCCTTGCGGAATGGGAATGAGGCAGGCAGTAGCTAAATCTAGTTCAAATTTAACAAACTGGTGGCAGAAGACTGTTAATGTCCATCAGCTTGATGATCAAGACATGTTTCCTCCTCATTCAGGACAATGTAATGTGTTTTGAATAATGTAATGCTCAACAACCACCCCCCCAAACCTTTCAGAGGAGTAAGCCCTGCCTTCGCCCTTCTGCAGATAACATGCTCAGCCACTGTCGCTACGATGGATGGAGAGGAGCGCAGAGGGCAAGATTCTATTTTAATTATCCTTCCTGATGAGTTGAAACACAACTGAAAATGCAAACCGATTAAAATCAGCCCGATCAACAATAGGAAATCAGAGCGACAACAATACCGTGTGGCTTCGCTGGGAGCTGGCTGGGTGGCGGGGTGCGGAAAACAAGCGAGAGGGATTTCAGCGGAGAGCGTTTTGTGGCTAAAGATGGGCTGCACGGCTTCGTTTGTCCAGCAACAGGAGTGAAGAAGCGGTGGGAGGAAGGGGGCTATAAATGGGGCCTGAAATAGTCCTTACACAGGTAAAAGGAGGAATCGGGGGATTTGCCTGGCTTCCCCCTGCAACAGCAAACACCGAATCGAGGTGAGTCGAGGTGAGTGGCTGTGCCTGGCTGCCTCTGCCAGCCTCAGCCGGCGCGTGTGGACGGGGGCAGCTCCAGCGGGGAGCGGGACGGTGGGTCCTGCCCCAGCAGAGACGTCTCACCGGGGCTCTCGGTCGGACACCCACGCACCAGCGGCTACAACGCACTGCTACCTGCTTTATCACCTATTACCTGCTCTCCCGCTTTTCCAACCGCTCCCTTGATGCTCCTGGGCATTTTCACACCTCCTTCCCTCCCTGCCGGGAGCTGCCCAGGGCACAGCACTGCTCCCAGGCACCCGCCGGAGGGGCCGCGGGGACCCCAGGGCTACCAGAGGTGCCGGGTGGTGATGTTTGTCCCCGGCTCAGTGCCTGCCACCATCCTCGTGCCCTGCGGGCAGCAGAGCCTGCGTGGCAGCTGCCTGCATCTGCGCAGGCGGCAGCGCAGGCAGCACTGGCAGCACGGGCAGTGCAGGCAGCGCAGGGCACTGCCCACGGCCGACCTGCCGGCTCTTCTCGTGCAGCTCCCTCCCACAGAAGGGTGGCAGAAGCAGCCCGGCTGGCCAACACAGAGACTGCGCCAGCAACGGCGCTTCTGGCGTGTCCTAGTTTCAAGGTGCTTGTCCTGACAACCTTCATCTTCTTTTAACGTAAATAATACAAACGCACCTGCCCATTTATATTTGCAAATGGGCATCTAAGGGACAAAAGGAAGGCAAAAATGCAGCTTTGCTCTTTCTCTCTGCATCTCTCTGCAAGCTGAAGCGATTAGCCTTCAAAAATTGTGCATGCGCTACATATGCTTTTGCTTGTTTTCCTCTGCAGAGTGTGCCTTTAATTACACAGATAAACCAGAATTTCTTTTTCTTTTCATCTCCTAACTCACACCGGAATATCTGTCTTTAATAAGTTCTTTCATACTCTTTCCAGCTGGCCTGACTACCTAAAAGCAATTGCCAATACATCTGTGCATTGTTAATAATAACAGTTATCTGATGAGTGCCAATAGCACGCTCAGGGCTGCAAACGGTCCAAACAAAGCACGTTCCCTGCTCCAAGGGCAAAGGGTGAATATCATCATTCATGCTTCAAAAAACCAAATTCCACAACTCAAAACCAGATCTCTTTTCAACTCTAACAAATAGCCTAAGCGTTAGTTTGCTCCCTTCATTTACCTCTTTTGGATGATGTGGTTAATAAAAATCAGTACGTTTCTAGATGATCATTGCCTGCCTCTTCTTTGGCCAAGTGGCATTTTTGTAGTATCTCGCTATTATCAAATTAACCAAAGCAGCTTAGTAGTATGATTTAGTAGAAGTAGACAAAGCTAGAAATGAACGGATATTGAGTGGGAAAGGTTAAAATGAAATGCATCGGGCAGGTGAGGCCGGAGCCTGGCTGGGGGAGTCTGGGTAAGGACCCACACGTCCCAGGAGTGGGGACCGGCGAGGTGACGGGTTCCGGCCACTGTGTCCTGCTGGTTAGTGCTGCTCTCTGCAGCTGTTCCCCCAAATTCATAATGAGGCCAAATTATGAGCCATTATGATGAGGCTTCTCAGAGAAAGGGACAGTGCCACCAGAGGAGCTCGGAAATCTGCAAACCCACTTAGAAGTGCTCGAGGGCGTTTTCTGCCCCAGGGGCCATACTTTATACCTGCTCAACAACATGAAACCACTAGTTGACTAAAGCTGGTCAAAGATGCAACGAGATGAAATGAAAGACAGCATTTTTAGTAAATACTTCCCCTTTTGCAACCACCTCAAACCCCCACCCCCTCCAGAAATCCCTAAAGGAATTTCAGAAAAGGAAAACTTGTTTCCTTTCTAACCATAAAGCTGCAAAGCCTGTGCTGAAAGATCATTTTCACGCATCTGGCCTCCTCTGCCGAGGTTCGCGTCGCCCCTGCCAGCGCCTGCGTGTCCCCCCCCCCCAGAGTCTGACACCTGCGAGAGGGGCCAGACAGCAGCAGCAACCATGGAGAAAGGATTTACACTCCAAAATAAGGTGAGGTCTGATAGAACTGCTCTGTTGCTAGAGTTCAGTGGCAGTAAAACATTTTCCCTCTCATTAAAGTGTTACTTTTAAAGAGATATTTAGAAAAAAAGCTTAAAAGCAAAGATTTAAACCAATTCAAAGCCCGTAACTGCAGTAACTCCCTATGGTCTGCAACTCCCATTTCATTTCTTTGATATTGCTCTCAAGAAGTCCGTCACACACATTTCCTCGGGATTTCAAGGGGATATTATTATCATTTTTTTCTTAAAAGCAACATTTGCAGTGTTTCATCTAAGCCTTGGGACACATTAAAGCGTCTTTTCATTATCGCAGCCTTACTGCAGATATAAATAGAGCTGGCCTTTGCTTTGTCAATAGTGCCGTTTTTTTCCTTTTATTTGCAGATGTTTATGCAGAAGTGTGACCACACACACCTCAGCGCACGGGGCCGGCAGCTCCCGGTCGTATCGGCAGAGCCAGCGGCTTTCGTGCTCAGGAGTCACTTCACTTGGTCCGTTACTAACCGGTACCTAAATAGACGTTGTTCTGGGCAGCAACGCGTTCATTTTAAAAGAAGGTGCCAATTCAATCAGTCCACAATTTTAACACCGTCTTGCATCCTAATTCTCTGAGTTTTGATGGGTAGTTGGCTCCAGCACTGAAATGAAAAATCAAACCAGCCCGCAGTGTGCCATAGCATCAAGAAGCGCAGCTGGACGGGGCTGGGCACGTGCGTTACCGGCAGCGGGAAGGAGGGAGGTCTACCTGGCAGTGCCGGTTCTTTCTTCAACCCATTCAACAACAAAAACTCAGCACCTGCAAACCCGGGTCCAGCTGAGCAGGACCAGACGCCTTGGTTTCACTTTTGCACATCCCAAAGCACCTAGAGATAGACTGCAAAGCCCGGCACATCTTGGACGATTCCTTGACACTGGTTAAATTTAGCTCTACAATATCTTTGTGACTGAAGCCTTCTCCCATTGACCGAATTACCTTTCCCCTTCTGCAGACATCTGTCTCATGCTTTTGCTAAAAGTGACATTGCATCACCTCCTCCACTACCGAGTAGCGGTGGAGCTGTTCTATTTGAAAGAAACAGCATTTTTCCTCTATAATAGAAGTATGTTACAGGGATGCCCTTTGCCTATTTTAGATTGTTTTGCCCTCTCTGCCACCTCCTCTGCAATCTGCAGGTCTTCTTCAAAATGCTCGCCTCATCCTCCCCGTTGGGATATTTTATTAAAATGACCAAATGGACCTCTGTTTCTTATAACAGGCACCAGGAAATTATTTCCCAGCAGTCAAGCTCAAAATGTTCTCTTATAGGTGATTACTGCTGATCATCCAGTCATGA